TTATCCTTATTTTCTCCTTAAATCAATTCTTTTAAATTTTCATAACACACAATGTAGGGGAGATAAACCTTTTTATTTTGTAAAACCATTACTTCACTCCCCTTACAAAAAAATTTTATTTGTTTAATTTTCTTAACTTCTATCTAATATAAAATTTATGTAAAAGGCACAAGCTGAACCCAAAAAAATAATAAGGCAGAAAAATCTGGACAAATCACGTTAAATGTGTGAAACTGTACCTTGATTTTGGTGAGATGTTACAATGATGCCTTGAATGCCGCAATGATGTACAATGATTTACATTATAATTAAGAAATTATACAATTCTTTGATCTCTTTAAAACCATATTTGATTTCAACCTCTTGTGCCTAGGAGATATTTAGTTATATACAAATATATGTCTAGAGCCACAGTAAGGAGGGCTGCAGACAAAAAGACAACAACTTGGAAGTAATATTGGATGTTATGGAAAGATTATAAATAGAACAGGTTTGCACATATTTGAAGGAAGATTTACCATCTAAAGAATGAAAGAAATGTGATTTTAATGCTGGTATTTGTTAACATATACAAGACAGGAACAGATGGGGAATGGCTGGCTGTATCACATTAAAAAAAAAATTTAAAGGGGGATAACTACAACTCAAATCATAAGGACAAGGCAGATAACTTTGCATGTAATGAAATGTCACCTAGTTAAAACAAGAGACATAGCTGTTTAATTAACAAAAAGGGATGTAATTTTAATTTATAATGGGAACAATTAACAAAAATAAACAAAATTTCCTCTTTTCAACAAATGAACTGTTAAAAAAATGAAATAATGAAGAGGGAACATAATTACAAACACAAAACAGTCACTGTATAATGCTAAATTAAAGTGGTTAGGTTATAAATAATATGTTACATACACTTCATTGTTGTTAATGGAGAACAGATGTTTATTTATGCCTTTTTAATAAATTATCTGCATGTAGACATTTTGATAAATAATCCTTATCGTTGAGTGGGTAGATAATTTTTTTAATCATAGATAAATGACATCTGGCACTAATGGATCAGAGGGAGGGGAAGGGCAGAGTGTTGTGGTGATGACGATATATTTATTAGTATTCACTAAATGTATGGTTATTACCTTATTTTTTTTTTGGGGGGGGGGGGGTCTAGCTTTTTGGTAGGTGGGGAGAAAATATATCTATTTTAAAAACTATAGCTATTAGGGTTTAGAAACATGATGGAGGTAGTGTCATGTTTTTCATTATAGTGGTTTAACAGGCACTAAATATGAGGTTTTCATTGATACTTTTTTGAAACAGTTACAAAAATATTTATTTTTTTGCTTAAGTTATTAGAAAAGTAATAAGATGAGAGGTCACACAACACATACATATACTGATGCAGACTTAAAACAGAATTTTTATAATCGAGAAATTTCCATACAATCAGTATCAGGAATTTTTTTTTGAGTATTTGATATACCAAAATACATCATGCATAACACCACACACTTGTTATATCTTTGGCAAAATAAAAAGTGAACATGACATCAGGGCAAGGAAACAAACATAATTCTGCAACAATGAGACAAAGCCAAACCGTCAATCAGCTTCAATTTTAAGATATCAAACAACACAGAACCAACGGACATGATTTTAATTGATGCATGACATTAAACATTATCAATCACTAACCCATTTAGGCAATTTTATTTTTAAACAAAGGAATGTTGATAAAGATAATAAATAAAGCACTGTATAAGAGAAACAATAAAATAAAATAGATATATGTATATATATAAGCCAAAGTGTACATTTCATTAATACATTTTAAATTATTTTCATATATTTAGTTTCTTACAATAAACTAAACAAAAGTGTTCAGTTCTACACTTTGCGTAATGAAACACTAACTTCTGAACTTGATATGTAATGACATATAATGAAGAGTAATTCAGAGGAAAACAAGTGCAACCATTTATCTGGGTCCAAAGTGCAGGCAAATTATTCTCTTATTATTATAGGCAAACTAGACCTCCCGACATTTAAACATGGCAAGCACAAACTTTTAACCCAAAAAGTTTGTGATCTTGGAGCCTGAAGAGTTACACAGACACAAAACTACAGCACATCTCAATTAAGTAGGCGCCAGTTACAAAAGTCTATCAGGTAAGACAAAAACTTGCTAGGAACACTGCATAAATGTAACAATAACCCTGGGTTTAATAGATGCTATTGACCTGTGGCCCATCTGTGTTCATCCAGTTATAAAACAGGAAACCAAAACTGCTAAGCTTGGCTAAATTTAGAAACTAATGTGGTTATAGTAAAAACTAGGACTAGATTTTTTTTTAAAAACAATATACAAAAACAAAAATAATTCGTAAGGAAATATTAAATATATTTATACCTATTAATAAATTCTGCAATATTGGCTTTTAGAATTTATTGAGCAAGAAAAATATTGAAAAAAAAATGAGATAAGATTTGAACCACTTTAAAAAAAACTGATTAATTGAACTTTAAGACATGTGGAGCATTCGTGATGAGCCAGTGGTACATTTAAATTGTTCCAGCTGAAAAAATATTCCCAATTTTAAAAAGTCTGAAAAAACAGTTGTTCTAAATATATGTAACATTGAATATTTAGTAATACACAGAAGACAAAAATATAACATAAAGGTAAATGATCTTAAAATATAATGTCTATAATTATTCATTTCTTTTAAAAGAAAATACATTTCAGTATTTTTTTCTCGAAAACTGAAAGATAAGTCACATAAATCAATTAAAATTAAGCTCAAGGTTGATAATTACAGATGTGCATCTAAGTTAAGTAGATTAATATTCTTCTTCTTTGTCTTTTTCTACTCACAGAGAAGGATGGGCTGTTTACTATATCTAGCTTTATATGAGAGGAAAGGGCAGTATGGGCTTCTCATAAACAGATCAGAGACATTATTAAAAAGGGTTAATGATAAATGGTTTTTAAAAAAACTACATAAAAACAATTTATAGGGTTAAAGTTGAACATTATAATAGTTATGTACATAGGTCTCAGCAAAAATTACAAGTCACATTATAAAAATACAGAGCAGCTTACAATGTAAAAATGCATATAGTATTTTAAAAAATGAGCTCACATCACACCAAACAATTAAAATACATGCAACTAACTAGCAACATGAATCTGAACTATAAAACAAAAATCTCAACAAATAAAAATAAATACCTTTGTTCAATACCAGACAATCCAGATGTAAGGAAAAGATAACTCTTAATCCAAAAAAAAAATAGAAGAAAAATAAAGAAGCGTCTAGTGAGGTAATGTATGAAAACAATTGTTACAAGAACAAATCCACAAACTTGTGCTGTGATAAAACCAGGGCCTGCCAGAAGTCTCCACAGCAGAAATTTAAGAAAACATCCACACACTAAAACATGTCTTGTGACTATAAAATACAGAAATCTCCACAGCAGAAATTTAAGAAAACATCCACACACTAAAACATGTCTTGAGACTATAAAATACAGAAGTCTCCACAGCAGAAATTTAAGAAAACATCCACACACTAAAACATGTCTTGAGACTATAAAATACAGAAGTCTCCACAGCAGAAATTTAAGAAAACATCCACACACTAAAACATGTCTTGTGACTATAAAATACAGAAGTCTCCACAGCAGAAATTTAAGAAAACATCCACACACTAAAACATGTCTTGAGACTATAAAATACAGAAGTCTCCACAGCAGAAATTTAAGAAAACATCCACACACTAAAACATGTCTTGAGACTATAAAATACAGAAGTCTCCACAGCAGAAATTTAAGAAAACATCCACACACTAAAACATGTCTTGTGACTATAAAATACAGAAGTCTCCACAGCAGAAATTTAAGAAAACATCCACACACTAAAACATGTCTTGAAACTATAAAATACAGAAGTCTCCACAGCAGAAATTTAAGAAAACATCCACACACTAAAACATGTCTTGAGACTATAAAATACAGAAGTCTCCACAGCAGAAATTTAAGAAAACATCCACACACTAAAACATGTCTTGAGACTATAAAATACAGAAGTCTCCACAGCAGAAATTTAAGAAAACATCCACACACTAAAACATGTCTTGTGACTATAAAATACAGAAGTCTCCACAGCAGAAATTTAAGAAAACATCCACACACTAAAACATGTCTTGTGACTATAAAATACAGAAGTCTCCACAGCAGAAATTTAAGAAAACATCCACACACTAAAACATGTCTTGAGACTATAAAATACAGAAGTCTCCACAGCAGAAATTTAAGAAAACATCCACACACTAAAACATGTCTTGTGATTATAAAATACAGAAATCTCCACAGCAGAAATTTAAGAAAACATCCACACACTAAAACATGTCTTGTGACTATAAAATACAGAAATCTCCACAGCAGAAATTTAAGAAAACATCCGCACACTAAAACATGTCTTGTGACTATAAAATACAGAAATCTCCACAGCAGAAATTTAAGAAAACATCCACACACTAAAACATGTCTTGTGACTATAAAATACAGAAGTCTCCACAGCAGAAATTTAAGAAAACATCCACACACTAAAACATGTCTTGTGACTATAAAATACAGAAATCTCCACAGCAGAAATTTAAGAAAACATCCACACACTAAAACATGTCTTGTGACTATAAAATACAGAAGTCTCCACAGCAGAAATTTAAGAAAACATCCGCACACTAAAACACGTCTTGAGACTATAAAATACTTGTACTAGTTTCCTTTGATTTCCTTAAAATACTAATCTTATACAAGCAGGAATTTTTCCTCATCTATATGCTGGAAAAATGTGTCTGTGATATACAGGATACATCCAAAACAGACAAATATCTGTGATATACAGGATACATCCAAACAGATAAATATCTGTGATATACAGGATACATCCAAAACAGACCAGAAATATCTGTGATATACAGGATATATCCAAACAAATATCTGTGATATACAGGATACATCCAAAACAGACAAATATCTGTGATATACAGGATACATCCAAAACAGACAAATATCTGTGATATACAGGGTACATCCAAACAGATAAATATCTGTGATATACTAGATACATCCAAAGCAGACAGGGAATAAAACGCTCTTGATGGTGATTCTAACACACGAGAGTTATCACAACTTGCTGGAAAGGCTTGAGTTGACTCACCCACAAGCCACAGGACAATATGAAAGATATAATTCTGGAATGGCAAAAATGGAGTCCATGCTTTGGCTGGAATCCAGGTCCATCAACATGCACACACATACACGCATTGAAGTTTATCTTGCAATAAGTTTTTCTCCTTTCCATTTTTATCACAAAATCACTTTTTAAAGAGTCTTTGATAAGTTTTTTTTTTAAAGTTGATCTTTGTTGTATCTACAGGAATATTTCATTGATTAAACCTGTTTGATTCAAATGTACATCTTACTGGGTTTTTTTTTAAATGAATTCCATGGCACGGCATGCATTCTTTGCATTGGCTTTGCTTTTTATAAAAAGTATATGCCAGATTTTTCAACCAGTATCAACCAAATGAGAATGTTTTTTATGATCTCTTTTTCTGCCTCACATCTTTTCTTCCCACAGGTCCCTGCCCAGACAGGGCTAAACTTTCCTTCTCTTTGGCCTCTCTCGCTGCCTTCCGTCTGGCTATCTGTTTCTGGTGTTCCCTCTCCATGTCTCGCTCACTAATTCCCAAACGCAGAGACTGGGGGAAAAAAACAATTGTTAGTTCCCAGAATGCATTTGCTATGACCTGAATTTAGTGCATACAGAATTGATGATTAAAATTAACTAAATTAACAGGATTTAACTTTTAAAACTATCAGTTTTTAACTTTTAAAACTATCAGTTTTTAACTTTTAAAACATCAGTTTTTAACTTTTAAAAACATCAGGATTTATGTTATGCTTTCCTAGCTATTGACTATAAATTTAATAAACCATATATACCAATATATTTTTTATAGATTAACAAAGGCTTTTTGAAGATTTATTTAATTGAAGTCAGGTACAATTTATGGCTGGGTGGACTCATGAACATCCAAAAACTCAAGAACAAGGTCTAATTGGACCTTTTGTGTTAGCAACTGTGGACTACTACTAGCCCAAGAACAATCAGTTCTAATAGACCTTTTACTAGCTCAAGAACAAGGTCTAATTGGACCTTTTGTGTTAGCAACTGTGGACTACTACTACTAGCCAAAAATGTCATGGTAAGAATAGAACAAATGTTCTGGAAGTGTACTCTACTGCACCTACCTCCCTGAATAAAAAGTCCTCATCCTGCAGCTCATGTGGAAGATTCCGGAGCCTCAACTTTTCCAGGGTTTCAAAAAATGTGGGGCACTGGGCCAGCTTTTCCTGGCCCTCCAGCACCACCTTGAGTAGGACCAGCCCAACACGGAACAGAACCTTCACACCTGGTGGTTAGAGGATAATTAGTTTAAAAATTATTAGTTTAAAACCTTCACACCTGTTCGTTAAGAGGATAATTATTTTATGACATTCATACCTGTTTTGTTAGAGGATAATTAGTTTAAAACCTTGACACCTGGTTTGTTAGAGAATAATTTATTTAAAACCTTCACACCTGGTTCGTTAGAGGATAATTACTTTATGACATTCATACCTGGTTCGTTAGAGGATAATTAGTTTAAAACCTTCACACCTGGTTTGTTAGAGGATAATTCATTTTCTTACAACATTTTCACACCTGGTTCACCAAAGGTTAATTAATTTACAATTTTTACTTTTTGTTTGTTAACGGCTGATTAATTTAAATCTTTCACACCTGGTTCATTAGAGGCTAATAAATTAAAACCTTTACACCTTTAGTTGCTAATTAATTTTCAAACAACAAAACCACACCTGGTTCAGCAAGATAATTAATTTAAAACCACACCTAGTTCATTAGAAGCTAATTAATTTAAAACTTTCACACCTGATTAATTTAAAACTTTCACACCTGTGTGTGGTTCATAAGAGGCCAATAATTTAAACCCTTTAAGCCTGCTTCAGAAGGGTAACTAACTATCTTACAGCAAAACTTTCATATCTAGTTTGTTAAAAACTGATAAATTTTCTAACAACTTAACTTTCACAAAACCATCACTGTACAAAACTTTACATCTGAACACCCGAATTAGACCCACACTCTCTAACTATTCCATGTCTGGCATAATTTTAAAATAACAACACTCTTGGTGGCTAGCAAAAGACCTGCAAGACCCAGAACTTGTACAATCACACAAATTCTAGTTAACTTCACTAAACCATTGAGAGTACCTCAAAATGAACAGAAAAAAAAATCTACTTTTACAAAGAAACTGGTCCTAACAATTTGGGTGTAGGACAAAAAAAAATGTACCTGCACAAATAAACAGACCCTAACAATTTCGACCAAAAAATTTACCATTACAAATAAACAGACCCTAACAATTTCGACCAAAAATTTACCTTCACAAATAAACTGACTAACAATTTGGATCAAAGAAATAAACCTTCACAAAGAAACTAATAATTTGGACCTAAAAATGTACCCTCATAAATAAAATTACGCTAACAATATAAACCAAAAAAAAGTATCTTCACAAAGAAACAGATCCTAAATATTTGGACACAGAAAAATGTACCTTCACAAAGAAACTGACCCTAAAAATTTGGACCAAAAAATGTACTTTCATTAACTGACCCTAACTATTTGGACCAAAAATTGTACCTTCACAAAGAAACTGACCCTAACTATTTGGACCAAAAATTGTACCTTCACAAAGAAACTGGCCCTAACTATTTGGACCAAAAATTGTACCTTCACAAAGAAACTGGTCCCACAACCTCAAGACTATGGTCCAGGGCAGTGTGCGGGTGTAGACACACATAAACCACTCCGTCATAAACATGATTGGCTCAATGTGTTGTTTTCTCTGGGGAAAACATTAAATGCATTACAGAACAGTTCCACCACATCATCATCTGTAAATTCCATGAACAGCCTTAGTAAAGGACAAACCAACAATGAGTTCTGGGTATGACAGTATAATGTGAATTACATATATGGTGATCACAATACCCAGACAATTTTCAAAACCATGTTAAAACTGGATGGGCCACTCCTACACAGTAAAGTAAAATATTCAACAGAAAACAAACAGCTATATACAGGCGTGAAATAGAGGTAGAGCACTAGACTGCACTAGAAAGTCTCAAGTTTAAATCCGGGATCAAGTTAGTAGAACAACCCTGAATGCACCAAGCTCTGATGGGTTCCTAAGTAAAGGTGGCTTGGCATTGTGCTGACCACATTATCTTTTCATGTGCCGAGGACACAGAAACAAGAGAACTCTACTTCACTTGCCCCACGGACCGTTAAGTTAGAAAAGTAGACTACTTTTTTTTTACATGTAGATAAAAGAAATTTTTTTTTTGTTTCATGACATTTACAGTGTCTGTCAGTAGGAAGAAACTTATTTTAAAAAACTCACCATGTGTTTATAGACCCCAGGACTTGTTTTTTTAAGCAGACCAAACAACACATCACCATCTAGTTGTATTGCCTCCTGGAAAAAACATCAACAGAAACAACAGTTAATCTGAGTAAATCATAGTTAATTTTTTAAAAAACATTTCCAAGTACGGAACTACATATAAATATTTACTTTCCAAAAAAAGTATATTGATCAAATCACCACCACCATCAAGTATTCAGGGTTATTTTTTTAGTATTGTTACTCTAACCCTATCTTTAACCACAGAATCTTTACCAAACAAACCTTAAGAGCAATACCAGCATGTTAAAACCACAATATAATATTCTCCTGTCAGCATTTTTATGAGAGGGCAAAAACACATTCACGAATAGCCAGCCAATATAAAACCTCGACTTTTGTCAAAAATAGCTACCCAATACAAATTTTTAAATTTTGTCACACATAGCCACCCAGTATATATTTTAACTTTTGTCACAACCAGATACATAATATAAAGTTTTGACCAGGGCTATAGTAGTAGTAGCCAGTGATGTACATGTCACATTTAGCCAGCCCATACAAAATCTTGACTTACCAGACCAGGGCTATAGTAGCCAGTGATGTCACAAATAGCCAGCACATACAAAACCTTGACTTACCAGACCAGGGCTATAGTAGCCAGTGATGTACTTGTCACTAATAGCCAGCCCATACAAAACCTTGACTTACCAGACCAGGGCTATAGTAGCCAGTGATGTACATGTCACATTTAGCCAGCCCATACAAAACCTTGACTTACCAGACCAGGGCTATAGTAGCCAGTGATGTCACAAATAGCCAGCACATACAAAACCTTGACTTACCAGACCAGGGCTATAGTAGCCAGTGATGTCACAAATAGCCAGCACATACAAAACCTTGACTTACCAGACCAGGGCTATAGTAGCCAGTGATGTACTTGTCACTAATAGCCAGCCCATACAAAACCTTGACTTACCAGACCAGGGCTATAGTAGCCAGTGATGTACTTGTCACTAATAGCCAGCCCATACAAAACCTTGACTTACCAGACCAGGGCTATAGTAGCCAGTGATGTCACAAATAGCCAGCCCATACAAAACCTTGACTTACCAGACCAGGGCTATAGTAGCCAGTGATGTACTTGTCACAAATAGCCACCAGACACCAGAAGGCCTGCTCTACTGGCATGTGCATCAGCAGCAGTGCAGCAATGGGTGCCTGGGCCTGGCAGTAGCCTTCTATAGGACGGTGAATGGTGTAGGCCTTTAGAACTTCAAACAACGATTCTTGCCTGGTTCAAATAAATAGTATACATTTCCCTTGAAATATTACAACTGCATTATAAATTAAAATAACGGTGGATCAGAAACAAATACTTAAGTTTTTTTTGAATTTACATTCTGCATAAAAAATAGTACATTTTAGTTTACATGGTAAACCTAAAAACACAGTAAAAAAAATTCTAAGAACAAGCATATTGTTTTTAGACTGCTTGCCAGATGCATGTTAGTATTATGAACTACTGAAAAAGTTTCTGAAATGTGACTACAGAAAATGTTTGTTTGGGAATAATGTCTTTTAGTTTTAAAAAAAACTCGGCACACCTCATCCTATCTGGCCAAATACATTATAGGTTGCCAGTTGTAACTATCCCACCACAAAAAGAAGACTTGACCACAGAACAAACCAACATTTACTCACCCCACACCTCCTTTAGATAAAAACATTTCATGGAGAGGAAACTGGCGATCCAGGTCCTTGTTGATGTCGTCAATACACTTGGGATCCCCAGGTAGCCTCAAGTAAGACTGACAAAAAAAAGGAGGTTGTTTCATTAATATTCATGCTGGAGCTGTCAAAACTTTCAATAGCTGGTGTAAAAACTTACATTCATCTAACCAGTGCTAAACTTTAAAAGTTTAAGCTGTCCAACTCTTCCAACCCGTTGAACCATTTACTACACTTCCAAATGCGCAACCATTTACCACACTTCCAAATGCGCAACCATTTACCACACTTCCAAATATGCAACCATTGACCACCCTTCTTACCGCCTCAACCATTTACCACCTTTCCTACCCACTCAACCCATTACCACCTTCTAACCCACTCTACTCATTTCAACATTCCTACCCTCATAACAGTCAGCAGTCAGAGTTAACAAGACGGTGCTCAAATTTATATGGGCTCACTTTCAAGTCCAGTGGACCCTAAAACTTTGTCCCCTGTTTTAATACAGCTAATTTTTAGACAGCTGTGACAAATATTTGTTTTTTAACACAGCTTTGACTGTTTTTTCAAATCCTAGTGCTCCTGCCCAACACCTTACTGATGTGTGTGTCACTACCACCTTAAAAACAACATTAACAGCACTAGCTGAAAGGGCCCAACATTTCTAAAAAAAAAATTCCTAGACACTAACTTGAATTAAGTCTTCTTTGATCTTATGATGTCAATATTGAAGAAATGATACAACAAGACTTCAATAAGTAAAACCAATCAAGCATGGAACTCACCTCAAACAACCCTTTGTTCTGTTCCATGGTGAAGTTACTACCACACAGATGCTGCCAAGCTCTGGCTCTCAATGATGGGGGGACACCTTTTCTACAACGTTCTCTAACCTATTTCCAAATGTGTAAAAACTACATTAGATTTCGTATTGCTGTAGACTTCCTGTTCAATAGCTATACACACTTTCTAGCTTGCCAAAACTGGCTTTAACAAAAATAAAAAAAGTTTTAATATCAAACCTAAAAAATGGTAACAGGATAGTTTTAATAATATTTAAGATTTTTGACTTTGTAAAATAAAATTTTATTTAAGCAGTAATGAATGACAAATTTAAAAGAATAAGCAACAAACTGATTTTAAACTAATTTTTACAGGAAGCAGTTTACCATATCAAAACTTGTATAAAAGATTCTGTTTTCAGCTGATGTAAAAACTTTGACCTACCTTTTTGAACCGTTTAGACATCCATTTATCCCAGTTGATGAACATGTCCAGCCATTTTGTCTCTCTCTTCCTGAGTTTTTCTTGTGGCAATCTTCTTTCCCTGGAGTTTAATAAACATGTTACTGCAGCAAATATATTTCTAAAGACTTAAATTATGAAAAAACTTACAATACTCACTATCACAAAAGTAGAAGTTTAAAAATATTTTTTGTGACAATTAATTTTAATTATAAAAGAAATATACAATACTCACACTTGCAAAATAAGAAAAAATATTTCTCTCCATGAAAAATTATTTTGTATAAAATTGGCTTAACAAATAAGCTAATTAATATTTTTAACGATAAAATAAATTTTTTGCTTACATGTCAGGATCAGTGTACTGGTTTCCACCCAGGAAACCATAGCGATCCGTCGTCACTGTGGAGCTATCAGGGTCAGCAAGATCCCCATTGGCCAGCTCATGGCCACTGGGAGAACCTCCATTACTCCTGGGGGATCCTGCGTCTCCGTTAGCACTGGGCGGATATGCCATTGCCATGGGCAAAGTCGTGTGTGTCAGGAGGTGTGTATCACCTCAGCATTTTCAAGAAAAAATGTTCCATTATCACTTGCACTGATTTCACGTACCTAGAATGGAAAATTTTTACCTTTTTAAGAGAAAATCATTTAAATAAAACATACAAGAGAAAGTATCCTTAATGAGAGCTTAGAACAGAGCATAGCTTTAAGAGGGTTGGAACGGTGACTATAAAAATAATCAAATTAGCATAGGTAATCACTTACGTTCTGCATTGTATTAATTTAAAATCAACTTTAACTTAATACATTATTTTATTAAATGTATTTAAATAAATTGTCATTTATATTTTTTTGTTGCACAGACTCCCAGGAAAAAAGAATAGGCTAATCAAAACAACCCTGCAAGTGGACAGTGGAAGGAGAAGCAAGGGCTGCTGAGCTTATGTGGTCTCAACTAAAGAGAGCTGCCAGTGGAGACATGTAGCTGCAGCCCTATGCTGCTCTGGGGCATCAAAGGAACAACTCAAGTCATAGAAAGAGTTTGAGTAATATGGAAACTGAACAAGTGATATATAATAACACACTGGTAGAAATAAAAATGGAACAAGCAAACAAAAACAAATTGTGTAGACTACATAATTAAGATATATATAACCATCAGTATATGGCTACAAACATTACCTGGTTCAGAAGAATTCTCAAACTATTTTTTATTAAAACATCTTCATAACCCTTTAACTATGAATGGTAACTCAACAAGAAATGTTCATAGAACCAATGTTTCTCTGAGGGTTAACAAAAAGTAGAATCCTTTGACTAACTAGCTGCTTACATCTTAACTAACAAGCTTCAGTAAGACAATACTTTCTTACTATTACCCTGTCATCTATTTTACTTCCTTCCCACAACTAAGCTTATAATACCACCAGTTTATATTGTGTTCATGTCTCACTTTGTCTCTTATTGTGTCATACATATCCCACTTGTCTTAATTGTTTCCTATATAAATTATCACAGGCACTTGAGAAAATATGTATCATGACCTATTCCTACTTAACTTCATTATACTTTTGCATTTCATAGAAAAGTCATTTCTTTTAAAATGTAGATATACATTTTAAATTTTAATAAACACAGTGAATTATTTCTAAATATAGCTAAATACCAAAATACTTCTAAAAAATTAAATCATCATAGAATAATGTTTATTGTTGTATCACTATTATTAATATCTATTATCCTATAGCCACCATATACCCATATACCTAACTCGATTTTAATAATTTAAAAGTTGGCATATTCCATTTGAAAAAAAAAAGCTAAAACAATCTTGTAACAACTACAAACTGTGTGTGTTGTGGGGGTAATATGTGAGATAGGCAATGCTGTAAACATGCTTTTAGTTTAGACACAAATGAGAATAAAATAAAGTTCACTTCATAATACACTTTGTTTTCCTTGTATAAAAAGTAATCATGCTTTAGTAAATAACATTTACATGCATAAGATTCATATGGTGACTGTCTGGTTGGGCAAGTAGTGTATGATTCAAGTAAGTAAAGTTTCCCTTTCAAACCCGACGGTCTATGGGGCAAGTGAAGTAGAGTTCACTTGCTTCTGTGACCTCGGCATATGAAGAGATAGTGTGGTCAGCACTATGCCCAGCCGCCTTTACTTTCCCTAATGTGAGTTAGGTACCCATCAGAGTTGGGTGGACTCAGGGACGGTGTACTGACTTGAACCCGGATTCGAACTCGAGACTTACGGGTTAGCAGTCCAGCTCTCTACCACTAGACCACTCCGTCCCATAGTGTATGATTGCTTACTCCTAAAGTCCCCAATTCAGACCCTGTGTAGTTTAGGCTTGCTAGTTGGGGACAGCAACAATGTTCCCTCTAAGCTGCGCGGTTGCGCGGCCGCGCAGTAGTTTTGAGCTGCCGCGCAGTGATTTTGTAAAATAAAAAATATCATTGTATAAGACTTTTAGAACAGCGCGCACAGAAAATACATTTTGCACACCGGCTTTTTCCCCTTAGAGGGAATATTGGACAGCAACCCTTCATGAAAAGTTAACTCGTCAAAATCAATTGACTGCTGCCATGTGTTGATAAAAGCTACAGAAACAAATCCAGAAAAAAAAGGATGTGGAAGTCAGGGTTATCAGGCCATAGGGCCCATGGCATGTTGACACATAATGCTTCATAGTGTTGGAGGAAATCCCTACTAACATTATTATAATACAAAACAAAGAAAAAGATAGTTTAGAAATAAGATGAGATTCTTTTTTTGAGCAGATTCACTAACATGACTTTATGGTATCCAAATCCTTGGATTACAGAATGACATTCACACATAATCTATAGGCCTATTATATATAATTCTCTTCTTGGAGACGATAGAAAACAAGCTGTAAGCGCGCTTCCTACCGCCCCCACCCCTAAATGGTCTGGTGAGCTGTGGTTCACGCTAAATGTTTACAATCGTAGAGCCGGGTTTAGTGACGGCTATTAGGGCAGATAATTACTGAAAAGTAGAAAATAAAACAACTAAATAGCGGCATATGATACGCCGCGGGTCGGCTCGTACCATTTAATTTCGACCATGCCATGCCATGTTACATTAGCTATTTTAATATTACTTATTGGCCAATTTGAAATAGAAATAGGTTTGATTTATATTTCATGTATCGTAAGTTCAATAAAATAGATTTTAAGAAATGATTAGTAGATCTAAAAAATCTCCAGGTCATAAACTTCCAGATCTTAAGCACTGAGCAAAAAATGGATCAGCAGAAAAACTTAATAAAGATTCTACTTTATTTAGGTCTATGTATTACTTCACTTTCATAATCTTAAATTTAGACTAGATGAAACAAGACGCTGAGAGTTACAGACATACAGACACACACAAGTTACATAATACATAAATAGGCTACTTAGTAGATTAAATCAGACTAAGACTCATCATCTTTTCCTGTTCAAGTATTTGTGTCCAAGACACATGGGGCAGATGAAGTAGAATTCATTTGTTTCAATTACCTCTACTTATCTAAGGGATAATGCCATCAGCACTATGCCCAGCCATTTTTGTTTCCCTAATGTGAGTACACATATTTATATTAGAGCTGGGATGTACTACAGATTTGGGACCAGAATTCAAACTCGAGACTTCCAGATTAGTTGTCTAGCACTCTACAGCCCAGCAACAGTCCCCTTGGCCTCCTAAGACAATTGAATAGGGCACAAACTACATTGATTAAACTTTGTCTATTAATAACTTCCAAGATCTAGCTAGAAGATTTATTCTCATTTATAGTTGTCTAGTCAACTCTATAATAATAGTGTAGTTTAAACTGATTAAAGTTTACACTTGACTTGCATTACATACAAGACAAGTAACTGTAGACTAGACAGTGTAGAGTGTAGACAGTGTGTGTAGAGTCACTAGATTGTAGTTCAGTGTAGAGTGTAGAGTTAAGTGTACCTTAGTCTGTAGTTAAGAAGATCTAGAATCTAGATCTAGAAATTTAGACAAGACTGACTAGACGTCGTGAATACCTTGTTTTGTATTAAGTAGATTACAACAAAATTACAAGCAATATCCAGACTCCTATATGTAGTAGCTTAGATCTAATAAATCTAGATCTAGTATAGATCTAGTCTAAGTCGTAAGAGTGGTAGTCGTAACTTCAGTGAAAAAAAAGTGAAGTTGGTCAGTGACTGAACTTTTTTTTACTTATCGAGACTCATCGACTATCGCGAATTTAGATTCTACTGGACTTTTTAGATTTAATAATGTTAAATACCATCAGACGCTACATATAAATCAATAATAACTGTATTCGCTTGCTTTGTTTCTAGCTTAACTTACCTTTAATTAAAGTGATTAAGCTCTGTTAGAGTGCTAGTCTATTTGTAAAATGTAAACAGTACAACCAAACCATCACTTAAGCAAAACCGGAACTTAATATAACCGGAAACAAAATAATCCGGAACAAGAACAAGCCTACTCAATGATTTTAGCAAAGTAGGCTAGTAGTAGTAGTCAAGTTTGGGTTAAAGAATTAATTAAAGCAATAATCTGCGATTATCTTTGCTTTTAGTATTCAAAATGTGTCTTTTTCCATAGCAATTCCCGATAGCCATGCCCCTTCAACAAGCATATTTGAATTTGTAATTTAGGCCTATAAAAATAACTAATCGGGGCTGGGATGTGTAATTTAATTTTTAGTTTAGTATTTAGACTCTAGTAGGATAAGCATAGAATATAGAATCTATGCGCAGTATCGTTATCTGCTTGAGTAAAGTGTGCCGAGCCTCCCTAGAAATATAGGCCTCACTAGACACGATAATCCGTCTTGCTCCAGTAACTAAAAGGCATCCAGTAAATGACGTCATGCACCTGGGGAGTGGGGTATGACACCCGAAGATATTTATGTACGGGTAAGAGGGGGGAGGAAGCCAACAAATGTGACATTATTATAGGACTGCGTAAAAATAGTGACGAAATAATGGTTAAGTATCGTCGTCAGATTTTCTTTCCGTTATCTGTTCGGGGAGGGGGGGGGGCGTAGCACGTTTACTGCGATCTTTCCAGAATGAAATGGGGGTAAAATATAGTTTAATATATAGGCCTATATAATTTATATTGAAAATACGTAGGCCCTACCTCAACTAGCGTACGCTACCACCACCCACCCCAGAAATTTTAACTGCACCCTCTCGAATCTTTTGAGTGTCCCTCCCCCGCAGAAAAAATGTCTGAAAGATACCTAATCGTCATGTCGCTATTTATAGACGATTCAAAGTTTTAAAATATTAGTACTGTTCTTTCTCTTTCAAAGTATCAAACTTGTTAGACTTTTTTTTTTAAATCATGGATTATTAGTAATATTTAACTATTTTAACTCATCAACTCGGTTAGAAAGATGCACGGCCTGCTAGGGCTAGACCAGAGTTTCTTCCAGGCATCTCTTCGGGGGGGCGAAGCCCCCCCCCCCCCCGAAAATTTTTTACCGCCCCCCCCCCCCCCCCCGAACGAAATGAAATTTATATAATTTATATAGAAAATATATACTTTTAACAGTGTCCGCCCTCCCGAAGAAAGTTTACCGCCTCCCCGAAGATTTCAAGTGCCCCCCCGGAGAAAAAAGTCTGGAAGAAACACTGGGCTAGACTATGAGAATGTTTAGGGGTTCTGAATGATAATACGCTAAACATTTTAAAGTAAAACAACAAATAAACCTTAGTCCTAATAGGCTTATAGAAAGATTAAGCTGAACCTCAATCTGAGGCTTAAGGGGTCACACGACAATCCCATCACGGGGTATCGGGCCTACCTGTACAGCCATGCTGAAATTGTGTTGGGGAGGGAGAGGAGGGTGATGAAAAAGTAAGGGATGCAACCATTAAATTAACATTATTTAACCCCTTTCTTAGTTATTTCCCATTAAAGTTTTAAAATTAAAAATAATTAACTTCATGTAGCCTAAAAGAATTGATGGGATATCGTTATATATATATATATATATCAGGGGCGTAGCGAGGGGGGGGCGGGGGGTGCGGACCGCACCGGGTGACACCATTTAGGGGGGTGACACCAAGGCAAAAAATAGCAAAATATATAGAGAAAAACTCGAGGGGGGGGGGGTGCAAATCGAAAGTTTGAGGGGGGGTGCAAATCGAAAACTTGAGGGGGGGGGGGGTGCAAATCGAAAGTTTGAGGGGGGGGGTGCAAATCGAAAACTTGAGGGGGGTGCAAATCGAAAACTTGAGGGGGGTGCAAATCGAAAACTTGAGGGGGGTGCAAATCGAAAGTTTGAGGGGGGGGGGGGTGCAAATCGAAAACTTGAGGGGGGTGCAAATCGAAAACTTGAGGGGGGTGCAAATCGAAAACTTGAGGGGGGTGCAAATCGAAAACTTGAGGGGGGTGCAAATCTAAAGTTTGAGGGGGGGGGTGCAAATCGAAAACTCGAGGGGGGGGTGCAAATCGAAAGTTTGAGGGGGGGGTGCAAATCGAAAATTTGAAAGTTTGTCCATGGGAAGGGTCTCTATGCCTCTGGGGGGGTGACACCATTAAGTGCCGCACCGGGTGACACCCGACCTCGCTACGCCACTGATATATATATATATATATATATATATATATATATATATTCACAAACTAATCATTTTCTTGTTAGAAGAATCAATCAAAATCAAACGTATTAAAAAAATACCTCAGGAGAACAATGTTGTTAGTTGTCTTATATACTAGATCTAGCATAGCTATAAATTAATCTATATGGTTTCAAATCAAGAAAAACACTCGATGTAGATCTAACCTGAAATAATCAATATTTGACATGAAAAGATGGCAGATGCATATTGTATGCCTTCTACTTTTTTTTTTGGTCACGGAAATATCGCACTGTGTATGGAATACAAAAATAAACTGTTATTGTTGCATTAAAGTTTTGCGAATGCTATTTTCTGGTACATTTCAGAGGCTTAGCGAAGGGGGGGGGTACCTATGTCCCCGGGCATTAAAAGCTAATTTTAGCCGCAGTTTTGCATTATAAATATATAAAAATATATAGTGGGGGGCGCCAACTTGAAAGTTTGACACGGGGGGGGGGCGCCAAATTGTCAGACCTTCCAGTGTCAAGCAAAATAATAGAAGTTAGATGTTGGAACACTGTATCAGACAGGAAACATGGCCCCGAGAAAAACTAAGGGCGGGCAGAAGAAACACGGAGATCAAGGGAGAAAGAGTTCAAGAGGCTTAACACACCAACAGGCAGTGGCGTAGCGAGGTGGGGGGGGGGGGGGGCGAGGGGTGCGGACCGCACCGGGTCACACCATTTAGGGGGGTGACACCAAGGCAAAAAATAGCAAAATATATAGAGAAAAGTGATAATTCCACTTAATTAAGTGATTAATTCGCGTATTAAAAAGTCTTTTAAGAGCAAATTTGACAAATCCCTACAAGGGTTTGACGAGGGGGGGGGTGACACCATTAAGTGCCGCACCGGGTGACATCCGCCCTCGCTACGCCACTGCCAACAGGCACAGGTTATAGATAGAGACAGGAAAAAAATAGTGCTCACTTTGTTGATGGCTCATGTGCTAGTGCGCGTTTGATGAAACTTAAAAACATAAAGCATCGTAGAATAATTGAAAAGGGCGGAGGAAGAGTGCACCCTGCCTTCTTGGGGAACTAGCCTTAGGAGTCATTACCACCTTCCGTCTGCTCATCTGCTGTTGAATAGTTGCCTATACTCGGTAGATCATGTGGTTTAGACTTCATCACTTTGTTACAGGCTACATCGCGTTTACACTTGAGACATATATATTATACACTTCTAGAAAAAATTTATATATATATATTATATAATATATATATATATATATATATATATATATATATATATATATATATATATATATATATATATATATATATACCCAGTTGTACTAACAACGTACTATAGATAAACATCATTAGTATTAAATGTGAACACTTTAAAGCTTTTACCGGGGGGTGGGGTGACACCAACTGCAAGATTTACAGAGGAAAAAAAGTAGGGGGGGGGTGACATCATGAGGTGCCCTCGGGGTGACACCCGATTCAGCGACGCTACTGCTTTAACAGTCATAAATAATGGCGTCAGTGTTATGATTTCACAATTAGATCATCCATTTATGACGCCAACAAAAATGATAAATTTTAGATCTCCCGAACCTTGTCCATACATGTCAAATTTGGATGGAACCTACACCCTAACCCCCCCCCCCCCCCCCCCGCCTCTCCCGTTGTGGACGTCCACTAAAATGTAATGGTTCTCTCCTTCTTACTTGGAGTGGTCTAGCGGTAGAGAGCTGGACTGCTAACCCGTTAGTCTCGAGTTCGAATCCGAGTTCAAGTCAGTAGACCGTCCCTGAGTCCACCCAACTCTGATGGGTACCTAACTCCTGTTAGGGAAAGTAAAGGCGGCTGGGCATAGTGCTGACCACACTATCTCTTCATATGCCGAGGTCACAGAAACAAGTGAACTCTACTTCACTTGCCCCATAGACCGTCAGGTTTGAAAGGGAAACCTTTTTCTCTCCTTCTTACTTGCAAAATACTAATCCATTAACATGTATTATGTGTACAATAGTACGCCAATGACTAATAAATTAGGTCAATGTCTTAAAATATTCAAATAGGAGACAGAGGCGTGGCGAACAGAGTTTTTTCCAGGCATCTCTTCGGGGGGGGGGGCTCTGCCCCCCAAAGAAGGTCTACCGCCGCCTCCCCGAACGAGATGGATTTCATATAGTAAACATACACTTTTACTAGTGTCCGCCCCCCCCCCGAAAATTTCAAGTGCCCCCCCCCCCCCGGAGAAAAAGTCTGGAAGAAACACTGATGGCGACCCATTTCGGCGGTGAACTATCAATTTTTCACCCCCGTCAATTTATATAACTATTTACATTTGACGCCCCCCCCCCCCCCCAGTTTGGAAAGGTGGATGGTGCTTTTTTACTAGTCACTGTCTCGTATCAGTTTTTATTTTGATATCAAAACTTGTTAAATTAGTCTGAACAGCCAAGTAGTAGTCTATTTCCTGAATTTAGATTATGTATAATTTATTAAGGCAACCCATAATAAGCTTCATCTACATATTTCTCTTTTCTAAATTGCATGGCGCCCCCTTAGGGTCGGCCACACCACCCCGCCCACCCCTAGCTGCGCCTCTATAAAAGGAGGTTATAATTTATTGTGATAAATAGAACCTCCGCTTGGACATGATTAATAGATTATTCCCCCCCCCCCCTTCAAAAGTTTTTTTTTATAATAGGTAAGGAATGAAACCTCTTTTTACTAACCATCTTAGATGAATCATCGAGAGCGCTTCACATTTAGAACTAGATCTAGTAGAATCTAGATTATTATCATTCCATTAGGGCTTAGGGTATTCCGGTAAGGGACCTATTTAGTTACTCTGATCTAAATGACGTAATTAAAATTTAAAGACATCACGTGAGTACTATAGTGAGAATTTTGAAATTGGATGATTTAATTTATCAAAATGCAGCAATAATTATCAGGTGCATCAATTTAAAAAAAAATTAGAATCTAAAACAGTCGTCATGAAGTTTTTCATTCTAAATTTCTTGGGAAAGAAAAAGAAAGGAGCGATGTCCTAGGCTACTGGGATAGAGCACAATATAAATTGTTCTCGTAGGCCTCTAATCTCGTGAGATTTTGATTGACCCAACAATTATTACTCACATAAAAATAGTGCACAATGTAAAGATTGACTTTTTAAGAGTATATTTTATTTCATTTCATGTTCTATATTTTATTATTTGTAAAATATAAATATAAAGTATTTTAAAAAATTAATTTTGTGATTAACATTGAATAGTATAACATTTTGATTTTTGTTATGGATGTATTAATACTTATCGGCCATTTTATTCAATGGTGGATGGTCTTAGCATTAACCGTGGGTACCACATCGGCTTATTATCTCCACGTTTTATTTACATGCCAATACTTATTTTTAAAAGTTTGCTCAATTATAGTAAATTTTAATGCTCTAAGGGGTGAATTCATTTGGACGACAGATTGTCATCCTAATCACCCAAAGAGTTGAGATTTCAATCAAAACAGATCTGACGACACTCACAGGTCGACTGATTGTTGGGTCTGGTTGGAACTGCAACAATCGCTAGATTCTCTAGGTCTGTATCTACAAAACTTAATTCGTCGATGACGCCTGACGATTCACCGTTCAGGCAATTAAGATTTTAAAAAATGCCAGTACAGCTGGATATTTAAAAGACTTATCTATACCTATGTAATTCGACGCGTTCTCTTCTTTGGATTTTACCACCTTAGATCTCCAGATCTACACAAGTGCACTGGTGACTCAAGTCAACAACACTGATAATTTGAATTGTGAACTGACTTGTTTTTTTTTTACAATTTGAAAACAATTTTTAAAAAGTAACTTTGCCAAGTTGCTCTGCTTTCAAGCTCTACAAGCATTGATAATCAACATTGGATTACAAAGAAGAGGTAAATCATCTAAATCTAGAATGTAGCTAGAATTTTTCTAGATCTCTGGAATCTAGACTCTTAGTAATTTGTAATTAATCAATAATTAGATCTAGATAATCTAGTAGGCCTGATTAATCTAGCAACTAGATCTACGTAGATTCTAGATCTACATTCTACATAGATCTACATTCATTACACTTAGGCCTACAGTAACTAGTTCTTACATCTAACCCTAATAAATAACAAACTACTAGTCTAATTCTAGTTCAAAATTGAATTGTTTCTGTGCATGGTGTATCTAGATCTAGACATCTATCTAGCAGCAGAGTGGAAGTGTCCTCTAACCCTAACAATGGTCAAAATAACTTCATAATTCCAATAAATGTTTAAAACCAGTCCAGTGGAATCTCTTATTTCACAGTAATACTACAGTGAAATGGATGACATTCCATCATATGCAAGGCAATTTTTGTTTTAAGAGGGGTCTAGGGCTACAGTTTTTTTTCCACCCTCAACATTAAAAAATGAATAGCCAGTTCAATTTTGAGTGCTATGGGTCCACACCTCAGTGCTAAGCTAAAAAAAAAAAACAACCAGCCTTTCCAAGGCCCTCTGTAGTGAAAACAATATTTCTGGTCTTTGTGCTAAATACTGCTAATGTATTATTTATAAAAACTATTGAGGGGTTAGAAATATTATAGGGCCCTAGGCCTATAAGATATAGTTCTATGTGCCATAGCTGTATTTATGAATTTAATTATAATAGGGGCCTAAACATTAGCCTTTAAGTAAAAAAAAAAAATCAATAAAATGAAACCATGATAAACATCAAGCTTCGGTAGGCTATATTTTACACAGCTTTACTTTTCACAATTTGAGAATTGCATGAAATGTGTTACATAGGCCTATATTTTTTTTAAATGAATTATTTCAGGCCCTAAGTGAGTTTGGGCCTTATTTTTACTTTCTCGTATATACGTAGTATAGAGAAAGTATTGTAATCGTGCAAAAAAAAAAAATCGAGATTTTTACAAATCTCGACGTTTTACACCTCACTGATACGGAAAAACATAATTTTGCAATCTTGTCCGTATGTCTGTGTGTGTGTCGTGTGTAAACACGATAACTTGAGTACCGTTACAGCTAGGTTGATGAAATTTCATATATAAGTATTATATCAAAATCGTAGATCCGTATCAACTTTTGAGCGATTTCCGACAACCGGAAGTGGTACTTTTTCTACTTTGAATTTTTCAAAAGCCTATAACTTGAGTACTATTTCAGATAGATAAATGAAATTTCACATGTAAGTAAAAGATCTAATTCTCTACCTTCTGTTAAATTTTGAGTAATTTCCGTTGACCGGAAGTAGTAATTTACGCTACTTCCGATTTCTCAAAAAACTAATGTAAATTTTAAAAGTACTAATAATATTGCGCACTATTATGCGCTTTTTTATTTTCGCGTTCACTTGGTGTGCAATTAATTTGTCTACGAGATTTTATTCTATTTTTAAAACTTTAAGTATTTAAAATGGATTAAAAATCATGTCTATAGCCCGAGTTCCCATCCCCTGTTATTTTATATAAAAATATTCGAGAAAGTTTAGGGGAGATCACTCCCGGTTTATTTTGTTTTATCTTTACAATGAACAATGGAAATAATAATACTACAGCCTATCTATTTTTAAATTAGCAGTGTTAGGCCTGATTTTATAAATTAACTTTGAAACAAATTATAGAAACCTAAATTGAAACATACCATAGCCCAAACCCTAATTTGACCCTAACACTGATAGTGATATTGCAGCTCAAGTAATAATCTTGCTCACAAATTGCTCATATTGTTTTTTGGAAGATTCCTTATTCGACACCAGCTGGTTTATATATATATATATATATATATATATATATAGGCATATATATATATATAGGCATATATATATATATATATATGTGTGTGTGTGTATGTATAGAGGAATATATTTAATTAAATAAATGTCACCTTTTTATTTTACTTTCCTATGTTATTACAAATTTTCAATTTAGTATGTATTAAAAAATAAATCAGCCTAACATTATTGGCTAATATTACTTCTAGGCTTAGAATAATATTACAGTATATAATACTTGCCGTCGGTACCCGTTACATGTGATTTATAGGCCTATATATTTTTAATGTTACACTTGTTTGAGAAGGGGTCGGTGTGGTCGAGTCGGTAAAGCTCATGGTTGCTAAACCGAAAAGTCTCGAGTTCGAACCCTCGGGCAGATGAGGCTCGTTAGCTGGGGACAGCCACTCTTCTAGGAGAGACAACTCCAAAATTAAACAACTGCTGCCTTGTAGTTTGTTCTTGGTTGGACAAAGGCTATGGAAGCAAATCCAAAAAGAAAAGCAGGCTGAAATCGGAGTCAATGGCCTCAATGGCGCATAACCAGTTGACACGTAATGCTTAATTGTGTTGGAGGCGTGGTCGAGTCGGCAAAAAGCTCATGGTTGATAAATTCGAACAAAGTCTCGAGTTCAAACCCACTGGCAGATAAATCTCGATCCCCTTCAACACTAATAATTAAGAACGAAGAAGAAGAAGACTTGTTTGAGAAAAATATTTTATAAAAAAGTATGGTCAAAATGCAATGTGCTTTACTACACATTGAACGATATTAGTGACAAAAAAAAAGAAATAAACTAAATAGCTAAAATTCCAACACATGTAAAATAACATAGGCTACCAATACTTATTAGAAAAATCAAATTATGTACATTATAATCATTATTAGTCAATGCAACACCATATTAAATACACACTGATTAAAAGACTTAAATGATTCCATTAAAAACCTGGCTGTTCAGTGTTGGTTTTTTTTAATAAAGTAATTTGTATTACTTTTGACCAAGAAAAGTTGTATACATTTCATAGAGTACGTCTTGATAAGTAGATCTATAGATCTAAATCAAATTGAATGAAATTCTAAATTTGGAAGATGATGCCATGAGTTTTGTGTACTTTCCTTAGTTTAAATTAAAAATGTGTTTCTACATTCAAATATGCCTTTATCTTCCTTCTTTAAATAAAATTATGTTTATACATTTAAAACATCCAATATTATTTTCAACTAAAGTCTGTATCTTTAAGTTCTCCATATATCGCTGAACATACTGATCTCATAGCCTTAAAACTGTTGCGGGCAGAGAGTACAGCACACATGGTGCCCTTTATAAATTAGGATATCAAGCTTACATGTTAGTATTGTTACGTAAATTGTCATACATGTTTTGCAAGCAATGGCTGTTCGGAAAACATTGAAATACAATTTAGGGTTAGGAGGTGTTAAAGTATGACTATTTTAGTGAAGTGTGGGGTCTAACTAAGTTTCAACTACAGTTTATTTAGGTTCATTTTTAAATGGCTATTCTGACAGTTAACATGGGTAGATATTTAGTGCAAATTGCATGTACATTATTTGTTAGAATGTTTTATAAGGTTTGGTTTTATTAATAGAAATGTTACCTCCACAGACATTCAAGGTGAGATGTAGGTATACTGTGAGATGTTCGCCATCGTCACTAACCTTTCTTCAAAGTATACAGTCTTTCAAGCATTAAGAGTACTAATGAATCTAGTATTCTTTGTGTGACCAAGTTATTTGTGATTACTTATATATTTTACAAATCGTATATATTTCAACCTTGTGAATTGTAAGACAACTCAAAATGTCTTCTGCAACGGCTGCTGCTTCTAGAAACAAAAACAGCAGAGGTCGACAGAATGTGTCAAACAGGTAAATAATTTGCTTTCTTTGTGAATTATTTTTTGGTGTGCGTTTTACTATTTTCCATGTAAAGAAAATAACAATGCTTATCTTTTTTTTTTATTTCAGGGGTTCATATCAAAATAATTTTGGAAGAAGAGAAACCCCAGAACCAGAAGTAAGCAAGGTCATATATTTTTTTAAACTGAATTTTGTGTCAAGTAAAATATTTGACATTCAGATACTTAACTTTTAAATGATTTATCCAATCGGCTGATCAGTTGATAGTTCATGAAGTATGTAGCTGTAAACTTTGCTCCATTGCAAGATATTGATCATGCAAAAAAAAAATTAATGCAATAATCATTGAGTAATATATGATTCATAGGTCTGCTTTTTATTGTAAGCTGTATAATATTTTGGGAAATTTAATTAACTATTAAATAACCATTAGAATATTAAAATTATATTTGAATTGTGTTTGCTAATTGTCATATGTATTTTCTTTAGACAAATAATTCTCCTATTCATGGAATTTATGCTGATCAGAGAACTGCCATGGTCATGTGCAGCTTTATGGTAAACTTTTTGCTTTATTTACTGCCTTATCACTTATTTTCAAAATCTTAATTGGTGATTATTATTATTATTGAAAAACCTTAGTTTTTAAATAAATAACGTTTATCTTTAAAAAAGAATGAACCTGCTTTATTTCTGCTATTGATGTACAAATGTAAATTTGTTGATTTTACAGTCAAATCCCTGAAATTTCTAGTGCTGGTAGAAATTTAATATTTCCATGATCCCTCTATCTGTCACTGACAAAAATTTCCTTTTTTAGGTGGTCAGTGGTATCACCATAGTATCTTTCCTTTAGTTTTTCTAATCACTTTGCATTAACATTTGAAATGTATTATTTGAAGGGTACTCGTACCACTGTAAAGACACGAAATGGCAGCACATACAAAGGCCACACTACTGGCTTCTCAGACAAGGTATTGTTTATTTACTTTAATTATTTAGTTGTTTTTTTTTTTTTTAAGAAAATTATCTGAGTTTATTCTTGCATAATGTTTATCTTTCTACTACTTTTAAATACTTTCATGGAGTGTTTGTTACATTAAACTTTTGTTCTGCTCTATAGGGTGACATTGCACTTTGTGATGCGAAGCTGGATGATGATGACAGCATAACAAATCCAACATTACCTGGCATCATTATTCAGAAAGATAAATTTGTTGTATGCAAGACTAATGGTGTAGATCTTAAAGGTCTTTGTGCTTGTAAGTCATCTTTTCAATACAACACTTAAACTTTTTTTAATTAGTAGTTTTTTTTTAGCTCTTAATCACCATTTAATATCTGTATATTATGCAACTGAAAGTGGAATTCATTATTAAATCAAATGATCGTAATAAATATGCGTATACTACAAGATGTTGAAAGTTAATGTTTGTAGAAATATATTTAGTACTACTTACAATAAATACCTGTTAAGATTGGAACTTAACCTACTAGATCTTGGTTTTATGCATGTGTCACACACCCTTACGTTAATATCTTTAGTGACTGATCTAAAAGTTTTTTAAAAGTTTGTTTTTACTTGTAGTATCCACAGATTTCACAGACTCAGCTATTGTTAATCGAACAAATGGCATTACTTCAGAAGGATCATTGCGAGAACTGCAGCCATGGCAGGATGATGATGCCCCTGATATAAATCCATCTCTCACACTAGATGATCCTGTAATTATTTTTCTTAAATTGTAGGCCTATATCTTAAGATAATGGAATAATTTTCTTATTCTGTTCTTTCTTAGACTAGACATCAAGCATTTCTAGCTAACAAAATATATATTTTTTTCAGACTGGAGGTTGGGAACCAACTGCAATGTTTGCAGTAAATAATGAAAAGTTTAATGTCCAATCTTCATATAATGAAGCAATGCATGAATATACGTGAGTATTTTATTTTTCCAAACTGCTTTTTCCTTTAAAAATCTGGTGTGCAGCATTTCAGAGTTAACTATTCGTTATCCAAATTTGCTTGATGCTCCTTCATTGTTTACAATACTTTCTTTTGTTACCTTTGCATATCTAAAAAATATGTGTTTGATCCCAAATTGCATATCTAGTCAGATTCTATTGATTAGGGACTGTTAGATAATTCCTGCATGAAGCCAAAGATTGTAAAAATAGTTACAGATCTGTGCATTACAAATGGTTTAAATTTTTTACCTTAAAGCTTCTGTATCCTCTAGCCTGTATTTTGTTTCATATACACAGTCATTTAAATAATTGTTTCAATATCACAGTACCAAGCTTCCAGATCCAAACTCTGAGGGATATGAAGAGCGACAGAGATTTGCTCAAAAACATGCAGAAGAGATAGAACGCAGTGAAGCATATCAAAACAGGATAGCTAAAGAACTTACTGATGGTGACGAAGAAGCTCGCTATTCTGCTGTACATCGACCAGGAGATTCTCAAAACAGCTTGCCACGGCCACAGGAATCCAAGTAAGACAAAAAATTTTTTCACATGTTTTCAATCATAAAGCTTTATGCATTTCCCCAGAAAATTGTCATACACCAATATTAGTTTCAGTGCTTATTTACAAAATATAAATATTCACTTCAACTTTTAATAAAGGCTTACATTACAGTATTTAATGTATTAATCTGGTTTAAATATTCTTTTAGATATTTAATTCCTGCAAGAGGAGGAGATGGTGAGCAAAATATGAGGAATGGGGCCTCTAGGAACCAAGGAAGAACTTTGCATAGACAGAACTCACCTTATTCCGCTAGTCACCAGCCTCCACAGCAGCAGCATACAAACTCAAGACAAATGAACAATCATTATCAGGCCTCACCACCCCCATCAGGAGGGTCACTAAGAAATCAAGGGCCTCCAATGCATAGCCGACAGCAACCTCCCAACCTCTCGTATCAGCAGCAGCCCCCTCCCTCTTTACCAGCGTCTTCACAGCAAACCAGACCTTCGGGCCAACATCTGGTCCAACAACAACACCCTGGTAACAAATCTCAACCTCTGAACCAACATCAACAATCGGTTGCGCCACCCACGATGGGTTCTCAGCACCAATTGCAGCAGAAAGTTAGCCCTCTTCACAGTCAGCCACAGCAGAACACAACAAATATAAAAAATGTCTCGGCTGGCCTCAATGGTCCAGCACAAACTATGACTTTAAGCAGGCAGCAAAATACATCTCAGATTAATGGCGGGAAAGGTTCGTGCTTTTTTAATATTAGCTTACATGTGACTTCCCGCTGGTGCAGTTTTCTCTTCGTAATTTTATGCTTTTGAAGCTAGTGTTTAGGGATCATAAATGTTTGCGTTTTTTTTTTTAAATCTCAATGTTGCAATTTCATATATAATATGTTCATTTAAAAGGTTAAGGACAATGGCATTATTAAGGGAAATATTTTTTTTTTTTTTTTACTGAAGTACATATTTACCCAGCCCTAAAAAAGTTGCTATAGAGCATACAAAATATACATCTAATCCTAATCATTTAATGTAGACGCTGAAATACAATACTTTAATCAAATGCTTTTTTAGCACATTTATTTTATATTTTTTTATTCATTTTGCTCAAATAATTATTTATCTATTCAACTGTTCAGAAAAGATTATTTTTAATCCCATAACATTTTTGTACATAGCCAAATGGCATGGCAAGAATGAAAAATTATAGTTAAAATAACAATCATTTTCCTATATCTTTCTACTAACATTGTGATAGAGAACAAAAAGTATATCATTTAAATTTTCAGATAACCATCCAAATTTGGATACCAATCAGAGGGCTGTTCCTTTGGATTTGAGTTCAAATCCTTTGGCTGCACAGAAAGTACCCGAAACCCATTTGTCTGCATCATCATCATCATCTACATCTATGGTAGAAAATCAGACCATCGTGCAAAGTTCTTTAGCTGCCACCACATCCCCTTCAACTGTGCCTCAAACAGAAAGAAGGACTATAAGTCAAGGTAATTTAGTTTTAAAGATGCTCTGCAGCATAATGGACTCTTCCAGGCTTATATTATCACATTGATAAGTGTGAACAGTGCTTTCACAGGTTTAGCGAATGTTCTTTTCTGTGTCTAGACTACTAGTAAATCTTTTTAAGTTTACTTTTCTCTCATTAAACTGATTTAATCTATTTGCAGAAGAAAGGAAAAAGAACATTCACCAGGATTTTCATGATTTCCACAACAATTTTAAACTGGTAAATATTAGTATTCTGATTAATAGCTTTGTCCTTTAAATTATGCCATCATTGGCCTCATTACAACTACACTTAGCATCTTGATTATATTGTCTTTGTTTCATTTATTTTTAAAAAATGTAAATATCTTCTTCAGGAACCTCAAGATGGTAGACAAGAAGAAGTTTTGGATAACTCTGTTTCTTCAACACCTGTTCCAACAAATGTTGCTGCAGCACCTGTTAGTATTGCTCCTGAAATAATTGCACCTCATTCTGAGGCTACTGATTCATCTACTAAAGTGTTAGATAAAATTGAAGAAGACGAAACACCTGTCAGGTTAGCAGTTTAAAAATGTACCTAATTTTTTCCTAAATAATCACCCTGTTTCTTTTTTCCATTCATTATTATTTCCTGATGTATGGAAATTTGTTTATGAAATTATCTTAAACAGGGTACATAACTTTGCATGCTTTTAATAGTCCAAATTTCTTCAAACAATTAAATGTGTTAGTTAAGGAAAAATAGCTACATTAAGTTATATTAGACTTGTATTAAAATAAATATTCAATTTTGTTGATTATTCAGTATTTTCTTTTTCAACAGCAAATCAAAATTAAATCCCAATGCCAAAGAATTTAAACCTGTAAGTGCTTTTAAGTTTTATTTAAGTCAAGTATTTTTATAGTAACACTGTAATAAAAACTTGTCGCTAATAAATGACTAAAATGTTTTCAGAAGAGTCAGCCACCTGCCCCCACACCTGTTGAAGCTCAGTCACCATCTCCTCAACCACGAAGCTCTCCCATAGTACCACAACAAGCACCTATGTATCCCATTTTTATGTACCTTCCTAATACTCAACAGAAAAAACGAGGTAATACATTTTTATAAACACATCTGATATAATTTTACTTAAGTTGTATATTATTATAGGAAGCTGCTTTTACATATACCTTTAATGTTTGATATAACCTTAATTTTAGTCACTGTTTCACTGGGCTCACCTGGTGTACCAGAGTTGACTGCACATCAAGTTACTGGTCAGCCACTTTTAGCAACGCAGCATCCACAGCATATAATGTATGTAACCCAACCAGGCCAACAGCTTCCTCCATACCAGGTAAAGCACAAATTATATTTTTTGATTTATTTGATTTGACAGAAAGTTAGTTACTATTTTTCTTTTCAATTATATCATGGCCATCACAATAACATTTTTAAATTAATTTTTGGGTTTTAATACCAATGTTTGGGTTTTATATAAATAGGTAAAAAGATATGAATCATTTTGCTGCGTAGTTACTGAAAAAAATAATTCTGATAAAATGTGAAATTAATTACAAAATGTGGAAATAATTACAGGGTTAATTACAGAGTTCTAAAGACTATTGGTGATCTTACCTTTTTGTTTCTTACTTACAATTTTTTATATTTTACAGTATTTCCAGCCCCAAATGATGCCTAGAATGATAGCTCCTAATTCTATAATGGCTCAGGGAGGGCAGCATGCAGGGATAGAGCAGGTGTCACAAGGTCAAAGCCCAGCAGTTTTTAGTAAGTCTCAATAGTTTTTTGTTTTATAAACATATTTCTATGTTAGAAAATGGCTAATAGCTGATTGCTACCTTTGTAAATTAGAAGGCACCTTTAATATAAACATTGTTTAGGAAGGAAAACATTCTGTTTAATTAACTTTGTCCCACTAAAAACAATAATTTTACTAGTAAACAACTTGATCTTCAATAATTTCACATATTTGTTTGATGCAAATTTTATTCTTAGCAAGAAGCATTGCGTAATGTAAATTAATGCCTAAAAGTTAATATATATGTCCATACATTTTGTAAATATTTTATTTTGTTTCCTATTTGTTAGTTGTGTTTATTTTTATTAGGGGGATTTAATAGTTTTAATTGAAAAAATACCTTATTATTTTCTTTTTAAGTTTAAATTTCTGTCTATTTTGTTTACTCATTATAGTTGAAAAATGCATCTTAATATTAGATAAACATTAGTTTTAGTTTATTTAGCTTTTTTTTTGTGCAGAAAAGTTCAGGTTTAAAAACAAAATCTAATTTTTTTAAGAGTACATTGAAAATTTTTACAATCATATGAGTAATCATGTTTTGTTATTTCACATTTTAATATAATTTATATACACGTTTTTTTATTGTATCTTATTCACATATTTGTAGCCCTCCATAACAGTGTTAATTCAATAAACGTCCATAGCTGATTTCCAGTTTTCATTCATTTTTATCGCAAACTGATTATACCTATAATCCCTGTTGTTCTCAGAAATTTTGATATAGTTGCACTCTGGCAATCTTGATTCCTTTTTTTTTTCTTTATTCTATTTGAGAAATAATTAAAAGATCGCTACAATTTTTAATGAAATTATTTTTATACTCCACCTCAAATTAATGTTAATGAAAATTATTAGTCCCAAAATAGCTTGAGGTGTAAAAGATTTCATTTGTTTTGGAGGGTACAAATTTAGTTGAATATTTATAGTGCATGAATTGTATCTTTGTCAAGTGTTCAAATTTTTAAAGTTTTAATTATTATATCTCTTTTTACCAACAGTGACAGCTCAGCCACAGCCAGTTCCCACACCTATGCCAGCTCACTTGGCGCCTCACCCACAACCAGCTCATGCCCAACCTTTAGCTCATCCTAACTCAAATCCACTGCCCCAACCAACACATGTCCCCAATCCTGCACCTTCCCCAGTGCAGCATCAGCACAACTCCCAACAGATTCCACAGCCCCTCACCCATCACATGACACAGGTTCCTCCTCAATCTGTGACACCCCAACCAGCACACTATCCTCAAATAAGTTTGAGTTTTCCACATGGTATCTCCACCATGACTATGCCAAGAACATCCATATCAGGACAGCAGGGTATGGCCCCAGGCCACCCCTCTGTTAGTATAGGATATCCTGTCATGTCTCAGTATCCTTATACTAATGGGAGTCCTGTTCAATACCCTTTTGCACCTGCAGCGCAACCACAGACATCCCAAAATTCCTCTCATGGGCAAGGACCCCAGCCCCAGTATGTAGTGATGCCTCAACCCACTCCCCAAGCACATCCTCCTATGCAGCAACATCCAGCACAATCTTATCAGGCTGGCATTCAATTCCAGCCCCAGCATAATATAATGCAAGGTAAATTAAACTATATTCCTTTAATCAAAATAAGTAATTATTTGATTTTTTTTAAAAGTATAAATTAAACATTTGAAATGTTTGTGTTTAGGGCCTCCTCAGATGCCCCCAAGCCACAGTCAAAATCCAAACCAAGGTGGGCACCATATAATCCACTCCCAGATGGCTAACCTTCAACAAGTAGGACAGCCTGGCATGTATATGCAGGGTAAATAAAATTTCCATTGTCATACCCATTTTGTTTTAAATTATACAATATTTTATGCATATTTTAGGTTAAACCATAGTCAGGATGAGTTCATCAATAAAATTCCCCTTAAATTTGACAATTAAGCTATAGATTTTTATTTTGTATAGCTCCTCAGTATTATATGCCTAGAGAAGGCTCAAGGAGGTGATCATATTTTTGATTGATTTTGTTTTGGTTTCATTTGTTGTTTTTCTATTTGATTTGCTTGTTCGTTTTCGATAGTTCAGATTGTTAAATTTTGAACAATTCTTAATGCATTCGGAAAGATGTTTTCTGTAAATTTAATTAACTAAGCTTTAAATTTGTCAAAACATTCAATCAAGAGGTAAAAAAAATTAATTTAATTGCATCAACATAGTCAAAGCTACTGTAATGAAACAATTTGGAATGAACATTAAATTTTTTGTCAACAATTTTTAACAAGTTGTTTAAAAAGTGGATTTAAATTTCTTTCTTGTTAAGTATCTCTTCTGCGATAAATCTGATGTATAACCAAAGTATATTTAGATGTGTAATAAATAACGCTACATTTCTTTTGTTTTTAGTGCCAACAACGCTGCAACAGTTTCAGCACCAACCATAATGTTTACTTGGCCTTAGTTATGCAAGGTAAGTTTTAATTAAATGTTTTATGCCTTATAACTGGTTTTGTACTATCTAATAAAATTTTATATAATAGTACTTTATCTAGAGATGTATTATCATTAAAATAGATTTTAAATTAATTGCTACCATTAAAATATTTTGCGCTATTACAAAAGTCTTGAGTTAAAATTCCTTCACGAGTGTTGGCCGTTCTGAGTCAACCTAGTTCTGATGGGTACCTTATATGCGTTAAGGAAATAAAGGCAGCTGGGCATGGTGCTGACCACACTACTGTCTTGGGCGTGAATAGTGGAAAATGATGATTAAAATAATTTATTCTAATTTTGATTTTTTTTCACAAGTGTTTTTAAATTTATTTCAGATAGTGTGCAAGTATCAAAGAGTGAACCTTGTACTGCTGAATTGCAGATGATGTGAATGAAAGTATATTTCATAGCTCCTCAAACTAATGGTGCTCCATTAAGAGCGAGTTAAGACTCCACTGGTTATTTTATTGCTAGATTACACAAATGAGCAGCATAGGAATCTACAAATGATTCCTGGGTTTCTTCTATTCCAGTTTTAAAGGCAATTTCATCATGAAATGTTATGAAGTGTGTTTTGTTTTACTTTTCCACAAGGACTATTTTCAAGCTGTGGACATGTGTTATTATGCAACTTAGATTGGAGATGACATTGGATAGTTCTCTTGTTTAATCTCATGCTAATAGTTGGATGAAGCCTGATGATGATGATACAAACATGAAAATTTTGGGTCTGTAACACCTGCAGTCCATTGTGTTAGTATTAGCACATTGTGCAAACGTCATAGAGGCCAAAGTTATAAAAGACTAGCCTGCCTTAGATTATGCTGTTATTGCAGCTGGACAATATAAGCTTTATACTGAAAACATTTCAAGGAGTGGATGTGCAGGTGAACATTGGATAGAAAGGACAATATCTTACAAGTCTAATATCTCAGAGAAAGTTATTTCAGTTTTTTCTCACATGCATTTGTACTTGAAAGTGTTCAATAATGGATTTAGCTTGCTATGTTATGGCACAAAATGCCCAGCATGAAGCTGTGAAACTTTCTCTCAAAGAGCGGACACCAGATTCATCTCAGGGCTTAAGTCTTTTGTGTGGAGACACAAGTCTATAGACTCATTTGGGATTACACTGTCCATGTGAAAAATGTTGAGAACAGATGACGGGAGAGATTCTTTAGTTATTTTTGTTTTGTTATGTTTTTTTTTTAAATTTTGCCCTGTGTGAGTGAATTGCTCCAAGTGTGACTGATTATTCCATTCTTATGCAATGGTTGTATGAATGATACGTCCTGGTACTGGACTAGTTTAAGCTGTTTTGACAAATATTCATTGCAGATGTTAAATTGTATTGCTCTGAGTGCTTTTGTATTCATAATTGAATGCTTACATGATTATGCTTATAACAAGCATACATCAGTAAATACTTGTAAATGACATATGCAAAATGAAAAGTGTGAATGAATGTTTGTTAATGCCATGCTTGTGTGTTTAAAGTGAGAAAATGCTTGACTTATAAATACTTTTGAATGGAGAAAATTCATTTTGTGGCCTTATTTTTGTTTTACATGGCTACATAAGTTGTTTTTTTTTTGGGCTAGTTTTCCATTGCAGCAAAAAATAATATATACTGATTGGTAACTACTTATGGATGTTACTTTTCAGCCAATTTCTTCAGTTAATGCTGTGCTGAAATTTTGTCAAAGTTGTTGGAAAATAATTTTTAAAAATACATTTTATATAATGTGAGATTTTATTTTATAAGGGTTTATATATATAGTGAATATATAAATAGGTAAGAGGTTATATGCACTGTGATGGCCCCTTCATTTGACTTTCTGCAGAGTTTTTAAATACACTGTGATGGTGTTTTTTTTTATCTAAATGCTTGAATGTTGAAGACTTGTCTGCGAATGATTATGGAATGTATGCATTTTCTGCAGTTTTATGTTGAAAATAGATTAGTATATAAACATGTTTACAAATGTGTGCATATATATCTAAAGTAAGTTGGCTGACACAGTTGACTGTGTTGATTGCGATATCTGTAATATAAGATGATCACAATCCCAAGTACTGACAGATACCATGTAATATTTTCACATGTGGTGTGTGCTCAGTGGTACCATGAAAGGTACCTCATTGGACTAGATAAAGGTCTGCTTATCAAAGTTTTAAAAAAAAAAACCCATTGTTTCTTCATCGTGGGAAGCTGCTAAATGAACTATCCACGAAATATGAGCTCATTTGTAAAGTACCGCTGCAATATTGAGCCCAGCTGTTTCTGTATACATGAATGTCACATTGCAAAATAAAAATGCTATTTCTGCAATTGTAGGGCAATGATAACATGGTCATTGCCTGCAGGAGTTTTATGTTATTTGATGTCTTCCCTTTCTGTACTAATGGGGGGAGACATCTGGCCAAAAGACTTGGATGTTTGTTTTTTTTAATCTAATCAAACAGGTTAACTTTTGGCTAAAAGTTTACTGTGTTGTATATGAATGGAATGGAAGGTATCTTTGTATGCTATAAATACACTTGTTTACATTGTCTACCCTGAGACTTAAAGTAATATAAAATGGTCTAGGTGAATAGTCTCTTATGTTTGTAAAATGATTTACTATTTATGACCATTATGGTCAGTGATGGTATTTTACTATGATGACAGACTATGGTTAGATTAATGAGCATGAAAATTGTTGGTAAATAGAATGACAAAAGACTGGTTGTGATAAATGATTGTGTAAGTGTAAAGTAGGATTTAGCCTTGCTACTGCCATTGGATCCAATGGAACTTGAATGGGGGGGTGAGCATGTTGTACCAATAAGAGTTGGCTCAGTGATCCAGGCCACAGTGTGCAGATATTGGAGCTGTCTGTAGACCAGAGTGTCCTCATGTGGGTTGTATGTTGTTGCCTGGCTTGTACACATTGCTGGAAGACCAGTAAGCAAATTGTGATACCAGTTTATTTATGAATGGAGAACATTTTCTTTCTGTGTCCATCTTTCATCTTCCTTCTCTAACGCATTCTTCCTTCGTACCAGTCTTAGCTTTCAATTCATGTACCTTTTTTTTCTTGTCCATCAAAATGCCATTTCAAATCCATTAGTAATTTGTCTATTAATAGAAATTTGATACATTGTATACCTTATTTACTGCTGAATTTTTTTTTATTTAAAAAAAAAACCAAAGTAATAATGGTGGCAAGGTTTTGGACAGTTAGTATTGCACTTTATTTACTGGTACATACAACATGCATTTTTCATGTGTGCTAGTTGTGTGTGTTGCTCATTGATGATGTGAAAGACTTGATAATGTTGCACCATTTTTCATCATTATAATCATCACATCATGTCCAGGAAGAATAGGGTGAACAGGCAAGAGGAATGTTACCTACATTCTCTAGTTTAAAACCTAGTTTAAGCGTAATAAGAAAAAACTTCAGTCTTAGTTTAAAAAACTGTTTTCTTAAAAGAAAGGTTTGTACATTGATTTTGTTTAGCTGAATGTTTGGGAGCAAGATATTAGTGCCTGCATCTGTTGAATTTATTTAGATTTAAAAAAACTGTCTCAAACAAAAATGAGTAAATTACCCCACAAGCTTGTATTACCAGTGAAGAGTTCTCCAATAGGCTAGCATTTCTTCCATTATCTCTACTGGTTTAGTTCATGAGGAGAGGATCTTAACACTGTTTTAGCTCCAAGGTTCAGTAATAATTTAAAAATAGTTTGTTTTATTTTTGTTAAGTGATGGAAAAAAAATCCCTTGCATCCTCAGTAAAAAATAATTGAAAAATACCAAACAATTGTGTTCATTGTTGTATTTTGTGTGCTTGAATTTATGGTTATCTTAGGTTAGTAATTTCCTGAAAATACCCAACATTACCATGTCTTTATTTGCCTAACAGACTTATGACTGAGCTTACATTTTATTTTATTTTCGAATGCTTTACTAATAATTTTTAAAAGTTTATTTTTCCTAAATTGAAGCATTTAGAAATCATAGTGAAATGTACTGATCAGTGATTAATTGGGTGATATTAAGCACTAGCAGTAAGTTTTCATTAAGAAAGAATTGAGGCAATATAACTGATTTTAAATGAGAAAAAAAAACTGGTCGAGCATTTTTAAATTACATCACTTAAATGTTGGATATACATTCAATTATGTGATAATCCAAAAAATTTTAAAATGAAATTAATTTTAAAAATTCTCAAGGACCACAACTCCTTGGTGGCAGTTGTATAAGCTTGTTACGTCCCTTGGAATCGAGTCAGTAAAACAAAAAAATTCGCTGTAACTTAACACAATAGATTTCGATATGGTTAAGCAGGTGATTATACTGAGACTGGCTCTTTAGGTTCACCCACAAATGACCGCACATGATTTTAGTCGACATTTACCTTCCCCCATAAATCGATGAACACGTATCTCAAAAAGCCAGCCCAATCCACAATGGCGTCTCTAAAGTCCTCGTTCCCATAAACAATTCCACCGAATTTCTAGTAAAATTAATTACAAGCTTTGATTTAGTTTGCAACTTGTGTTTGTGGCAATCTTGTAACTCAATTTTGACTTTCTAGATAAGTTCCACTTCGATTATTGATAATACAAGTCTATCAATTAAAAAAAAAACTAATTAGATGTTTAATTAGTCATTTAAAATTAAACGATTTCGAAATTATTTGAGATAACACAAATAACTTGATAGCTTATTAAATTCAATAACAGAAGGGGAATTAACTCGCTAGATACGATCACCCCACAAGTCTGGTGAGCTGTGGTTCACGAAAATGTTTACAATCGTAGAGTCGGTCGATCTAGTGAAGTTTATCAGGGGCAGATAATAAAATTTGTAAACGATTTGAATCTAAAGGGAGATAACAAGACTTAGAACTGTCTGTAAAATATGGTCACGGACGGCTACTTTCACGTCAGATATCGCTAGCTACCGTCATTTTAAAGCAAGTCTTGTCTACTTCACTAAAAAGTAGAAAATAAAACAAATATAAAAAAAAAACCTTTATAGCAACAATATTTTTAAATGCACTGAAAATAAGAAAATAAAACTTATCCGCTTTCTTTTATAAAAGCTTTAATCGCTCATGAGATCGTTTACATAATTTTAGCAACCAAATGTTGTTTTTTTTATTTTCCCAAAAAAAAATTTATTAGAATATTATATCACATTTCTCAGAATCCCCCCCCCCCCTAGTTGTGTGACGTCATTTATGGACAACCCAAAAATAGAACTGTTTGCTTATCGTAGTTACTGTAGGCCTGTTCTGGAAAATAAACACCAACTTCATTCATTCATCCAACCGTAGCCCAAACTGCAATGGGAACGTGTGGAGCTTGATGCAACGCCAAACTTTAGCTAAGGTGAAAACGTTTGAGGGGGTCGTTCATAAATGACGTTATATTCCATGGGAGGGGGGTGGGGAAGAAACAGTTATAGTCGTTGTTTCGCTTTCTTAAACAAGTTAATAAAAAGTCTAGTGACAATTTAAGCTCAAATTCCTTATGTTATCCATAACAATTTTTAAAAAAAATTGTGACCGAACGAAAGGATATTTTTGAAAACTTTCTTCGGCAATATTGTTCTAAATTATGGCAGGAATCGATTGGTAAATGTTTCAAGTCGCTAAGTGGTCTGGTTGCCGAGATATGGGCCAAAAACTGCATTTTTTTTCGAGTTTTTTTGGCTTTTCCGGGAAATCCAGGAAGGAATTCCGGGAATTTTTCTGGCCCACAATCATCCTCGGAACTTGCTTAACATATTTGCTTTTGGAACTAGTCCTCGATATTGCTTCGTTGAGGAGGAGATACGACTTAAAGCTGCGGACACACATCCATCCATCCATCCAGAAATAACGAATTAGTAATCGCAATTGTCAGTATGGAAATTGCGCGAAAAAAACGTGTTTGTAACTTGTAAAAGGTATTGAATAATATAATATTAAAGATAATGACTGAGATCAGTAAATATTTCATAAAACAATCGATATATTTTTTTCAAAAAATGCAATTTTGAAGGGGGTGGGTGTAGGCTGAAAATGGTGCACTCGGTACACGTTTTTTGTGTGCGGAAAGTGCATTTTTCTTGTAGCGCAATGTTCTAGTTGCGCATTTCTTGTAATTAAACACATACATGCAAGCATATATATATATATATATATATATATATATATATATATATATATATATATATATATATATATATATGTATATATGACCTTCTGAATGATGGCATTTTTATATAGAATCCAGACACACAAAAAACAACAAAAACAACTACAAACTGCATAACAGTCTTACATCCTGTCGCGACACAGTAATTTTGGAAGGGGCCACCCGTATCCACCTCTACACACACCTACACCATCCACACCGGCACACACTCTCCCCTACAAAAAAAAAATCAGTTAAAAATGCATGGCATAAATGAATTAATTATTTCCGATAGTTAATCCTAACCTTGTCCCGAGACGGAGCCACAAAAACAAGCTCGTTAAGTCGGGTGTAATTCGATAATGCGTTCGTCCCTGACGGAAAGTAGGTGGCTAAAAATAGCCGCGGCGCTCTTCTCGCCGTCAGCGGCGTGTCACACGTAGGACGCGAGAATCTCGCTGCTAGTAAACAAAGATTGAGAGACGAAAATGAAAGTTCGGAAGGACGTTTGTATCTTTGGGGAGGGGGGAAAGAGGGGGGGGGGGGGGGGGGGAAGTGAATAATGAAAGAAAATTCGAAAATTGGCATGAGCGCTCTCCTGAAAGTTTTTTTTTTAGAAATAGAGGAGCCATCAGACAGCGTTTCGTTCATGCTTCTTACCGCCCCCCCCCCCCCACCACGGGGCACCTAATCGCCTCTCGGATATATATATATATATATATATATATATATATATATATATATATATATATATATATATATATATATATATATATATATATATATATATATATATATATATATATATATATATATATATATATATATACAGGAATTTATACAGGAAATATAATATATATTTCAACGCCCCCTACCAGGATATCTCAAGCGCCCTTTGCCCCCCCCCCCCTCCCCCGGAGAAAAATGGAAAGGCGTGGTTGCGTCTCTACGCTCCACAAGGGATATACAGGAATGATGATGATGACATAAACTATATGACAGCACGCTTTCACTTACTCTAGCATAGTTGGAGTTAGGGGGGGGGGGTCTGTTGGCTTAGATACAAAAAAATATTTTTCAGGGCCAGCCGGTCCCGGTCCCCACCCGGTCTAGGTCCCACCCTAACGACGCGTGACTGTGGGTATGATGAGCGCGTGCACCAGCGTTTAATTAATTAGCTGACACAGAAAAACAAGTTAATTACGATGTCCAAATACCAGCCGACTGAGTGCTTTTGAGTTTTACCTTATCGAGCGATCTACATTTGCTACACATTTTTTGTTTCACTTTTTTAATTATGTTAATTAAGTATAAACATATCGAGTGGTCTACATTTGTTGCGTTTTTACAAGTTTAAAAAATAAATTAACTTGATTTCCAACCAGCCTTATTATGTCTTCGGATTGGGTGGGACTTTGTGATTGAAATTTGACCTACTTACACTGAACCGATTTTTTTTTTAAAATTGAAAAGTATTTTAAAATCCGATGATTAGCAATTTGACAAAGACAGTTAAAAAAATAAATTAAAAAATAGCATTCTAGTTTGAAGAAACAAACAAACACACAAACAAACAAACAAACAAAAATATCAGGAACCGAATACAGTCAAGAAATGGAGACCGTGTCCAAAATATATAACTGTCGGTTCCCTTAACCTTCCGAGAAACATTTGACTTCTGCAGAATTAAACAGCATTAACCATGAATGAGTCAGTCCAGATTGTGGATCACTTGTGGCAAACAGAATAACCTTCCTCGAGTTACCTTTCGTTATGGGTTTTTCCCCTGTCAACTAATAATTAGTGACCGTTTAATGGGCTATTTATAGAGTGGCCCATGTATACCCTTACAGCACGCGATTTCAGCGGTTCAAACGTTTTCGTTCACATAGCTAAACATCCAGGCCTCTTATTTGTTTTAAGAAAAAAAAATAATTAAAATTAATCCACTTTAATTATTTGATTCCAGAGTTTTTTTCAGGCATCTCTACGCGAGCGGGTGTGCTATGCCTCTTTCTCCCACCCCCACCCCCATAGCACCATCTGGAAAAAAATGTCTGGAGGAAACTCTGTTTTTTTTAAAATTGAAATATAGGATTCCCACTGAACAACATTTCCATAGAGGCCATGTTACCAGTTTTTTTAATGCAGGATCTTGCCAAGGTGGGTGTTTTAGCCCTCAACACACCCACTGCCTACGCCAATACCACCCATTCTTGCAGAAGACGCGGCGTAACCTAGTTCTCCAGCAAAGCTCAGCAAAATCCCTCTCCAACCAGATGCTTATGAGAACCTCTCCAAACGTCAAGAATGGAGAGATTTCAAATGTAAGAGCTTTAAAAAGTGAACAGAAATGTTATTTTTACCCGCCATTTGTCCAAATTTTCGCCGCATTCCACGGATCGCGAATAATGTAATCGCCCGCGACTAATCGCCCGAAGCTAATCGCCCCACAGTGGGAGCTACACCCGATCATATCGCGCAACCCCATGACGGTTCTCATGACCTTTTGGCTTAATTGCACGTGCTAAGGGTAAAAATAGAACAATTAGACAAGTGTTTTGTGGGCTATAAATAGATTCTGTAACCTATTGTTAAGGACAACAACCTTTGATAAATTTACCCC